ACTAAATCAGAAACCTTGCATATATCATTAATGTATAATATAAATAATTTAGGTCCCAAAACAGAACCCCGAGGCACTCCACATACAATGTCCAGCTCACTCGATTGGTATTCACCCATCTTCACAAATTGACACCTCTGTGTCAAATAACTTCTAATCCAGGTCATTGCCTTCTTTCAGAAAAAGCCCCTGTAGACAAAATAAAATCTGATGTTGTCTCTGCACCCCCACAGTGAAACGTGTTGACCCCCAAAACAGAAATCAATGTGATGTGGAGAGATTGGAGATGTACTTTGATTTAATAGCTTGTAGTACTATATAAACTGTACTTTAAAAGTAGAAAAAAATCTGACAGGTCAGTTTCCAGCACAAGACCAGTGATGTACCAATTAAAAACTAGTAGATAAATCAACACAGATCTGCGGGGTTCACAGCCAACAGTGATCAAACAATAAGCAGTTCAACAGTCGATCTCCCTCCCCCTGTCTCTGTGTTCATTATTAATCCATCCCTCCAGCCATCCGTGCTGATGCACTGTGACTGTATTGAGGAGGCGGTGAGTGTGTTTATAAGGTGATGACCTGAGCCAATAGCCGGCCTCGCTGCTCTCCATACAGCCAACAAACAACCAATGCTGTAAATGACTGTGAGAATCAAAGGAAACGGCTTCATTTCATATTCTCTACATGTAAGCACTTTACTGTCCATCACCGACCGTCTGCACACTCCTCCGCCTTTAGCTCACTCTCTCTGTCACTTGTGTTTCATCATTTCATATCACACACACAGTTTATTTGGATGAGGTGAATCAGAATATCTTTAAAATTGGCAAAAACACTAGTTTCAAAAGTAAGCCAGCACCATACCTAACAGATACCGATTTCAATAAATAATGAATCTACAAATTAATCTAAACATTCTGTTGCTGCATTTATCCAGTGTTACTGTTTATCCACTGTTTGCTTGGCCACTCTTTTCTGTCACTAAGGAAATTAAGTATTTTTTTTTCTTCATCTTAAAAAACCTGAATAAATACTGGGTAGTTAATGTCAGCGGTATCAGCCACCGTGGATCGGGTCCAGTCCAGCCCAGAGGACAGTTTTCATAAGGCCTCCTGATGGTTAGAATATATTTTTACATACAACCCAAAACTGGTGTTAAAAGCATTGTTCTGAAATGCAACACTGCAGTTACTCAGCTTAGTGCACTGTATATGAAGGTT